GGAACTGCATAGTTCCAGCTACTTGGAAGGCTGAGGCGGAAGGATCACCAGAGCCCAGCAGGTTGAGGCTGCAGTGGCCTGGAGCGTGCCACTGCATTCCAGTCTGGGCGACAGAGTGAGACTCCAACTCAAAAAAAAAAAAAAAAAAAAGTTGATCACAACCCACCAAACTGATTTTACAAACCCACTGACAGCCACATCCTGCAGTCTGAAAACCACTGCAATACATATCAGGATGAGGCAGCGGAAGCTTCACCCTCAGCCCAGGCTGCCAGTCCTGGCTTTCTGCCTTTTGCCTCACACCTGTGCCCCGAGCCTGCCTGTGACTCAGCCAGAACCAGGCCACGTCATATCTGGCTGGACAGAAGAGCCACCACAGAGCTGAAGCGCCTCTTTCCAGCCTGCTGAGGGTCAGCCTTCTCTGTGCGTCTCTCAGGCTCTCTCCCTGCAGGAGTCACCAGGCACTGACGACAATGTGAACTCTGTTCCTGCTGCACCTTCACAGCCCCATTTCTCAGATGGGAAGTCTGAGGCAACAAGAGGTGAAATGACTGTGGAATAAGGATAAACAGGACTGGCCCCCCTTTGGAATTCAGAATTTGAATTAAGTAGGGAAATTGGCTTTCTAGAAAATGCTGAGAAAATGCTGAATAAGTGGCTGTGGGGGAAAAAGTACTGGAGGCATAGCAAAGCAGATATGAAACTGGGTCGGGAGGGAGCACCCCTGCCAAATGGCATGACATCATCAGGAACAGCTGCAGCAAGGGAGGTTGCCCTCAGGAGTCAGAGGGACTGGGGCGTCCAATGGTGGACTCCAGTCCTAGGCAGGGGCAGACTAAGGCAAGAGCTCAGACAGGGTGGAGAGGCCATGCTTTCACTCTTTCCTGGTCTCCTGACTGCAATAGAAGGTTGGCATGGCAGCTAGTGGCCAGGGCAGGTGGTCCTGTTCCAAGCATTCCCTCACCCCATTCAGAGAAAGAGTCTTGCACAATGCTGTGGCCCTGCCAATTGAACACACGACAGATAACAGCATGCTGTGGACACAATAAACTGGAAAAAGACATGGCAGTGATTTTGGAAAGGCACAGTGGGGCTATGTACTGTGCTGGGGAAAATGGGATTTGGACTCAGAATATTCGATCTGGGTAGTTGCCCTCTGTTACTGGAGCAGACATTCACTGAGTGCCTTCTAGATGTCTCAAGCCCTGTGGTAATAAGGAATGGAGAGCCATATGGCCCCAGAGGGGCCGGCAGCATAGTGAAGCATGAAGAATAAAGAAACAGGCAATAACAGAACAGAGTTTTGAGTGTGGTGACTGATGGGTACACAGAGGCTGTGGAAACACAGAGGAGGTCCAGGGAAGGGTCGCCAGAGAGGATGCCTAATCTGGTGTCTAGTAGCATTTTCTCAAATGGCAAGTAGAGGTTACAGCCTTCAGTCATAGGAAGCTATGGGAGAGGCAGGGATGGGAGAGACATGTCAGCAAATTTTGGAACTAAGTGATTCCCACTGGCTGGAGCGTAGGTTGAAATGAACGTGCAAGATGGGGTCCCACCAATGTGCTTGCTTCTTGACCTTGGATGAGTCGTGTAATTTCACCTCCTCCACTGAAGGCCCCAGGCCCAAGCAGATTCACAGGTCACCACACTTTCCCTGGGGCTGAAATGCAGGCCCTTGGCGGCCTGTTCCTCAACAGTTCCCAAGAGACAAGTTAGAAGGCCCTTGGAGCCTGAGGAGCCCAGCCCTTCAGGTCACAAATTGGGAATCTGAAGCACCAGGGGCACGCCGATTTGCTTGAGAACACCAGTGTGTACAGTTGTGCTGCTGTGCCAAAGAGATGAGAAAAGAAAAACAGGTGAGCGCAGTATAAGCTTTTTGAGGTATGAAAACGTATCCGGAGCTGGGCTCGGTGGCTCAGCCTGTAATCCCAGCACTTTGGGAGGCTGAGGAGAGTGGATTGCCTGAGCCCGCGGGTTCGAGACCCGCCTGGGCAACTTGGCGAGCCCTCATCTCTACAATAAAATAAAAAATTAGTCGGGTGTGGTAGTGC